TGTTTTAATATAATTCTCTACAGAACGAGCAGGTTGATTATTTCTGTTGTGTTCAAGCTGAAATTGCATGTGTTTAGATTTGTAAGCCTCACACAGACATCAGACATGTAGCACAATAAAGGATGTTGGTAACCAAGGTCACATGCTTTAGCACAATGTAATACTTAATACATGAATGTCAAAAAGCATATTTTCTAGACTTTCTAAGGCATGTTTTTCCATTTCTGAGACAACCAAATGTCCTTGTTACAGTATTATTCAACCATTCTTGACAGAACATACAGTGTAAGCTATTACTCCAAAAGTGCACAGTAGTGGTGCACTGTCTGGGACAACATTCCTTGAAGTGGCCCTCAGCTTAGTCCTCAACAACATGATCTTTGTGCTTATTTCTGTTTTGTTGTTATGTTAGGCAGCAGGAGTTGTGGTTGAACTGATCAAGTCTAAAAAGATGGCTGGAAGAGCAATCCTTTTAGCAGGCCCTCCAGGAACTGGCAAGGTATGTGTAACAGTTTGCAGCAATGTATAATTGCACTTTGTAGTGCATTCAGAAAACATCCTATGAGAAATTAAACTTAAATCTGTACTGAGTTCTATTCAGTATTAACACAAAACCATCGCAAACTGTTGATGTAGCTACATGGTGCAAGCAGAGAGAATTTACTTTTTGTTTTACTCTTTTGTTTTGCCTTCAAGAAAAGAATTGCAATGATCTGCCAGGAAAAACAAAGTATTTTGCATATGTTATTTCTCATAACTTTTTCTTTGTGTTTGTTTAGATATTGCCACTGCCCAGAGAAAATTAAAAAAAGCTGTCACAGTGGAAACACTCACTAAGTGACTTAGATCTTGTTCCCACAGAATTTTTGTTTCTCCCAAAGTTCCACACATGTACACGTGTACATGTAGTGTGATAGAAACATAGGGCCTGCAAGCAAGCTTTCTTGAAGTAGAGGTTCCACCCAAAATTTGGACCCACATTACTGATTGGTGGAGATTAATTCATTGATGACATACATGTATGAGCAAACATGTCACCTTGTCAGAGGCAACATTTTAAAGTCTGACCCATCCAGGCAAGCTCTCCTTCTCTTCACCAACCCTGCTCCAAGAACAATGAGAGCTTGCTTGTAGGCTAAAGTTGATATTCAGTAAATGTTTTCTTTTTAGGGAAATGTTGATCTAAAGTCCAGTGCAGTAACCCCTACATGTAGCTAGACCACTGTACCTCTCACAATTCATTAGTTACATGTAGAGGCAGCGTGGCTGAGTGGTTAGGGTGCCAGACTTAAATCTGAGGGTCCCAGGATCAAGTCCCGCTCTGACTGCTAAGCTGGAGTTGTTTCTCGGTAGACCCTAGTTCAACTCCTCGGCGACGCTTGTTCATGTACTTGTGAATAGCCAACTGGTCTGCCTCCTGCCAGTTGGGATTTTTAACCATGTTATATTAATTTGTATTACATGAAATAACTATTTTCTTTCATTATTTGGTTTCATTGGCCCTGAAAAGCCCCATTGAGGGAGTAGTCAATTAAGATATTTATTTATTTATTTTTTTTATTTAATAAACTTCGATCATTTTTTGCAGACTGCTCTGGCTCTTGCTATTGCTCAGGATCTTGGTCCAAAGGTTCCTTTCTGCCCAATGGTTGGAAGCGAGGTCTACTCATCAGAAATCAAGAAAACAGAAGTTCTAATGGAGAATTTCAGAAGGGCCATTGGTAAGAGTCATGTTGTCAAAACATCATTCATGCACATTACTATTATCAACTTGTCTTGTACTTTAGTTTATATCAGTAGTATTGTATTGCCTTATCAGGCATTCAATGCACTATCTATTATTTAGCTACTATGCCTTGGATACAATGTACATTGTAGCGGTGTGATATGGTTAGTGTGCTGGACCACAAATCGAGCTGTCTGTGTTCGAGCCCTTCCTGGGGACAATGTGTTGTGTTCTTGCAGGGCTTTCAATAAGGGTTGTAACGTGCAACACCAGTTACGGCTGAGTATTTTTGATGGACCCTTGAAGTTACAGGTGAAGCTCTTCAATTCACCCATAACTTAGTAACAAGTTTGCTACAGGTGTGAAGATCAAGGCTACAGCTGAATTAAAACTTAATGATAACCCTGTTCTTGGGTAAGATACTTAACTCTCACGGTGCCTCTCTCTTCCCAGGTGGGTAACCCTGTGATAGACCAGTATCCCATCCAGGGGGGAGTAGAATTACATGTGCAATGTACTCCTAGTTGCTTTATACCACAGAAACTGGAGATAAGTGTACTTAACCTTGCCTGTAGTACCATACATACACGTACATGCCTGTACATGTAACTACATGTATACACATGTACACAGCAGTAGGGCATAGTTTGATGTTGTTGTACATGATTTACATTGTATTGTTCACTTGAACCTTTCTATTCTACTTCTAGGTCTGAGGATTAAGGAAACAAAGGAAGTCTATGAAGGAGAGGTATNATTAACTGCGATGATCATTCTTCACTTTCATCTACAACCGCAGTTCATACATGAATTATTTCATATAAACGTCACATCATGTGGAAACTTAGGTTTGATATTGCTGAGATAGAACATAGTTTTTAACATTTTTGGAATTCTGATTTGCTGTATCTTCTATGGCATGGTATAAATATATGTACACCAATGTCTAATTTTTATTTCAGGGTATGGTAAAACTGTTAGCCATGTGGTTATTGGTTTGAAAACTGCAAAAGGAACCAAGCAACTGAAGGCAAGTTACACAATTTAAAATCACTGCACAGGAATATATTTATTGAGCACTTGACATTTTGTATTTTCTACTTGCATTCTTATTAATCTACACATACCTTTTTTTTGTGGAAACAGAATATGGATTTCTTACTCATTATTATTGTCATTATCATGACTCGTCATGGACTGAAGATCAGTGTCTTCCTTGTACAGCAACACACTGCCCTTTTTGACTATTTCTTTCCTTTTGTGATGTTTACACTGTTTATAGTTCAATAAAACCAGCAGTCTGATTTTCACAGGTCAGGAAAATTTTCAGGGCAGTTCTAAATTGCTTTGCTGAAGTCGGGGATACATGTAGGTTAGGGAATATTATTATTTTAATTTATAGGTGCTGCAGATTTTGATGGTACACTGTAAATGTTACATGGATAATGACCAAGTGATTTACTTTCAGTGAAAGTTGTTTCAAGATGCCTAAAGTATTAATTAAAACAAATTTAAACATAAACTGGCTACTTCTCGTATGATCTACACTGTACGTGTACATGTAACTTATGGTGTCTACATGTACCTACTACATGTACCATGGCCAGGGAAAATAAAAAAAAATATTGTCTTCTGGTCTGTTGGAATTGATGTATACTGTATGTGCTAATGCTGCTATTTTCTCTCAACTACATGTATATCATTTGTTTTGTTGAGTACAGCTGGATCCTTCAATATATGAAAGCCTTCAGAAGGAAAAAGTGGAAGTTGGTGATGTGATCTACATTGAGGCAAACAGTGGTGCAGTCAAGGTTTGATCAATTTTCTTGGAAGTACAGTGTAACTGGTTCCACTTACAGTATTTTCCAATGTTTTGCCATCTACAGCATGGTACATGTAAATACACTGTAGTGCATTATTAGTGCACACCAACCTGCACACAGATTCTCTACTAGAGTAGTGCCACTTTCAATTGGGGATCGTAAGATTAAAGAAAAGTAAAGATTAGTAACAGTCTTTGATATCTGTGGTTTAATTTACACTGGTTTGTTTTGCCTCAGCGTCAAGGCCGATCAGACACATTTGCCACAGAATTTGATCTTGAGGCTGAAGAATATGTGCCATTACCCAAAGGTGATGTGCACAAGAAGAAAGAAATTGTCCAGGATGTGACGCTGCACGATCTGGACGTGGCAAATGCAAGACCACAGGTAAGGTGGAAATGGATAGAAAGATTTTGAAAGGGTACTTATCAATTTACAGCTGTAGCCTGGCTACTACACGTGGCTGCAACTAAAGGAGCTAAGTCACAGCTTTCGCATCTAGTTGAAATGTATAGCATAAATTTGTTAAGCTTGTTGTTTGTAATCTGTGTCAATCTTCTCCATCCTTAATCATCCCTGTTCCTTTATGGTTTATTATTGTCTCTTTGGTGTTTTTCTATCTCAGTAAACTACTATTTTTAGACTTTCCTCAATTTAAAGGTGATTTTGTATGTGGCCGAAATAACTGGGGAAAAAAAAATGGTGACTGAGCTCCTTTAAGGGCTGTAACCTGTAATGCCTCTTATGGCTGAGCATGCGCGATGGTTCCTCTATGTTGCGGGTGAAATTGCTGCTTGACCTTGTTGTTGTTCATTACAAAACAGCAAGCTTGTTACAGATGTGAAGATCAAGCAACATGTAACAGGTTACTCAAAACAAAATGATAGCTCAGCCACTGTGTCAATGTCACCATTGATCAATCTCAATTTGGAAGCCAGACACAAACAAGAAAGGTAACAACAACATGTAAAATAACTGGAAACAAACAAGTGAAGCATACGAAATGATTAAGTTGCTTGCTTCCATTTCTTTTGCTTCCTTTTTTTTTCATTTTTTGTTGTTGTTGTTGCTTTTTCATGTCTGAAAACTAATTTAAAAATGAAAGCTCAGTTTTCTAAGCGGTGCTCAGAGTTAAGTTTCTAATCCTGTGCTGTGGTGCTTTATCACGTTATTGATTTCAACACAAGCAGTTGCACTGTGCAATCATGTAGTTCTGTTCTAAATTTTTTGTGTCACCTTCACCTACCTTGTTGCACCAGAGTGGTGCATTAAGCCTCAAGGTTTCTTTAATCACACAGTGTTTACAGGGTCAGGTGATTAGCCTAATGCCCAACCCCCAACCAGGGGGACCAGGGACTGTTCTTTGTCAGGGCCCTATCCCTCAACCAATCTGGCACAGTTGAACAATCCAGGGACTTCGCCACCACTGGCAGAGTTCTTGGGGTCATTGAGACACACAAGCTCTGCCACCACAACAATGTGACAAGCCCAGAGTGGAGATTCATGTGCATGTTAATTTTCTCTGCCACCAAAGTATTATTTCTTCGTTTTTTTTTATTTGTTCCAGGGAGGGCAGGACATTCTATCCATGATGGGACAACTAATGAAGCCAAAAAAGACAGAAATTACAGGTGAGGTTCAAATTCAATAGTAACCTGTGTCCTGATAATCTCTTGCACGGCCTCTCTCCTTGGTAAAATGGTAGGATTAAATTAAAGTCTGCA